GATAGATTTTAAAACTATTTTCAATCACTCGTTTGATTGGTATTGTAATCCATATAGCTAAATGTTTGTGTACTTTTTATTGCAGCATTTATTTTGTTTTGGATACTTCTTAGAACATTTCTACAAATAACCAATGATCCCTACTTTCCGTTAAAATTTTAATTCCTTTTTCCTATTTATTTGTTCAATTTTTATATGTCCATAGAATTGACACAACATCTACAAATGTTAACTTTGGACATATCCCTGATAGCTATAACTTTTACAAGAATTAAAACCACAATTACAAATTTATAAAATGTAATCCTTATTTTGGCCTATAGATAAATGTATAAAGCTGCCAAAGTGTGGATTAAATTTTATAAATTTGTGATTGTGGTTTTAATTCTTGTTTCGTTACTTTTTGTAGCAGGATCTTTAATTCATTTTAAAATTAATAATTTGTAACACTCTTGTTTGTTTACTTTTTATGTTATACTTGTATGAGGTATATACTTTACCTTTAAAAACTAGTGTGCATCTATCCATTGATATGTAGCTCCATCTGTTGGTTTGAATTGAGTTGAAAAAATATTTAAGTACGTGCATGATATATTTAACATTTATAAAAAGTCTTTATATATTTATTGGAATATCAAAAGCAGATACCCACAGATCAGTCACGTAAGCTGGAGAAATCTTGTAGCGATAGTCTGAGCTGTCTAGGGCCTAGTCCCACTGACGGGATCAGGTAGGTAGTAGACGAAACTTTGTAAACAAAATGTGGAGGATTTTTGAAACATCTTCCTCTGCACTTGTTTCTTTACAACAGGCAATTGTCATCCATTCTACAAAGTTTCCTCATGAATACTCTGCCTAAACAATCTATCAAAGAAAAAGTTTCTGTTTTAGAAAATTTGGATTTGTTATTCCAGAAATGGTAGCACATTTTTAAGTGAATTATTAGTATATATGTGCATTATATATAATAACCAATACTTTGAATGGTTGGTTTTTCACTTAGGAATTCAATAGATTAGTTTTTTGGCACATGAATTATTTAGAATCCTTGCCAATCCCTACTATTAAGTACTACTATACCTAATGATTATACTTTTTTATTGTATTGCCTTTGTGAAGAACACTAAGTTGTATTGATGTGCACTATTTTAGCATAGAACTACTGTGATTGATATCATTAAACTACTGTATGACAGGTGAATAAAATATATTTGGCTTGATGAGCATGTGCAAAGACTTAACATGAAAATGCTTGCATTCGAGTATATTTTACCATATTTTTATATAGTAATCTGTAAACATCATAACAGTCTGAAACTTTCAGTTATTGTTCTTGGACTTTAATTTAAAAACATTTTAAATTAATTTTGTCATTGCCATTTTCTGTTAAATGAGCTGTTATCTTCTGGAATTCCAAGTTTGTTTTTTTTCTCAGTTAACTAGATTTTATATATCCCAGTGAGTTTCAACTTGTACTTTGTTTATAGATGCTTGAGCAGCTTTGCTTACTTATACCTTTTGGTTCCACAGTTGTGAAGAGTATTTTTGTCTGAGAAGAAAGTAAAATGTTTGCGTAGAAGTTTAAGTTATCTATTACTTCATGTGAAAAGTGATACTTTAGTTTGGTGTATTGTGTGTGTGTGTGTGATGTTGACACTGGTTGTGAAAAGTTACATAACAAGTTAGAAAGCAGGATGTGCTTCTTATTAAAACAGAGTAATATCAAATTGTGTATGTATGGATGTGAAATGTCTCTTCTTAGTATATAGTACACTCCATGATTGTTGTTTAGAAGCAGATACCAATACAGCTCCTACACTTATTACATGTATTTACTATGATGGTAGAAATTAATAATATTAAAAGGTTCAAATGTTGCACAAACATTTGTACAAAGGTCAGTCAAATAGCAGGATATCTGAAGAATATGATGTTAGTAAAAAATATTTAATTATTCTTTGTTCATTTATCATAAAACTGATCAGTTTCTGTCTTTCTATTTTTCAAGAGATTAATAGGTTTTAAACATCTAAAATAAGTAATTAAAATCTGCACTATCTTTACCACTGTTAATCTCATTTCCATTGCACATGAATATATTCTCTTTACTGGAACAGAACTCTCTAACTTCAAGTTATGGAAAACTTCCTTAAAAATAACTTAGTTGTATTTAGTTAGTGAAGTACTTAATATATTATAGAAATTCCACATATAATAAAGATGTACCATACTGTTAAGATGAGGATTCTAATTTAGATCTCAATAACACAACAGACTAAAACTTCTTTTGTTTTAGCTATGCTGGATTTACCATTTCTAATAAATGATTAATTTTAGGAAAGTGTGTTTGTGTATGAAAATAGAAATGTCAATAATGAACCATTAGGATAAGCTTACCCAAAAATTCTTCATATTTATTTTTTAAAAGAAATACAATTGAGGAAATTTTCTAGATAGATCAAAATGTAAAGGTTTTTCATATGCTAATCCTCCTTTCACTTGATGAATAAACTTAATTTTCTTTACAAATGAAGTAAAGTGAAAAGAAATGTAAAGGCAACCATATTTTGAAGATTGTGTAATACTATTGAAAATATACTGTTTTAAGTTTTTGCTAACAAAGGAACATGTAACTCCTGTTCAGGTGTGAAATTACAAAAAAAAGTAGAGGTACTCGGCTGGGTGAAGTGGACCTGTTTATGAAAAAGAAAAAAAATCTACGATTAAACATAAAAAATGACAAAGTAGCTCAAATACATTCCAGTACTCAGTACCGGTGAGTATTGGTAGAATTACACTCCTGCTCTTGTCTCACTATTTTCTGATTATGATTAAGAGTCCAAGTGACAGCATAGCTGTAGGTATATGCCGTGAAAATTTAATTTGAAGATGTCACAAGAGTAAAAGTATATTGTTAAGTACAATAGTACTTAATAGTAGGAATTGACAAGGTTTCCAAATAATTCATGCACCAAAATACCACTATATTGAATTCTTAAGCATAAAACAGACCATTCAAAGTATTGGTTACGGTATATTATGTGCATATACACTAATAATATGCTAGAAAGATTGCTAACATTTATGGTATAACAATTCAAACATTTATAAAACAGCAACTTTTTTGTCCACTACCTACCTGCTCACATCAGTGAGGCTAGTCCCTAGACTGCTTGGACCATTGTTACAAGATTTCTTCAGCTTACTTGACTGGTCTATAGGTATGTGCTTTTGATATTCCAATAGATATATACAGATTTTTTATAAATGGTAAACATATCATGCACATACTTAAATACTTTTTAACTCCAATTCAACCCAACAGATGGTGCTACATATTGATGGATAGATGCTCAATAGTTTTGAAAGGTAAAGTATATACTTTATACAGGTATAACATAAAAAGTAAACAAACAAGAGTATTAAAACAATTATGAATTTTAAAATGAAGTGGGGATCCTGCTACAAAAAATAATGAGATGAGAATTAAAACCACAATCACAAATTTATAAAATTTAATCCACACTTTGGCAGCTTTATACATTTATCTGTAGGCCAAAGTAAGGACTACATTTTATAAATTTGTAATTGTGGTTTTAATTCTTGTAAAAGTTATAGCTATCAGGGATACGTCTACAGTTAAAATTGTGTCCATTCTATGAACAGATTAAAAAAAAAAAATTAATGGAAAGTAGGGATCATTGGTCATTTGTAGAATTGCTATAAGAAGTATCCAAAACAAAGTAAATGCTGCAATAAAAAGTACACAAACAAGTAAAGTGATACTAGTTGGATAGGTTTTAAAATGACTTTCAATCCCTACTTTGGTTGGCAAATTTAGACTGATTTATTTAGCTATACAGATTGCAATGCCAACCAAACTAGGGATTGAAAATCATTGTAAAATCTATCCAGCTAGTATTACTTGACTTGTTTATGTGCTTTTTATTGCAGCATTTTTTGTTTTGGATACTACTTGTAGCAATTCTACAAATGACCAACGATCCATACTTTCTGTTATTTTTTTTCCCCTATTTATTTAAGATTAAAACTCTGTTAATAAGTATACTGTTTATGGTTGGATTATCAAACAAATATGAAATATTTTACTTTAGTTTGTTGTGTAGTAAATGGAACCTAGTACATTTTATATATATACATATAAAGATATTATAATTGGTGTTGTTGAAAGAGCAGTTTAATAGACTTTTTACTAGTTAGACCGTTTAATTGATTACCTGCGAGAAGTGATAACATTGATTAGCATCTGTAATCTAATTAATTAATTAAATTACAATTAATCAAAATTAGTGTTTTGTATCATTATTTTCAATTGTTCTAACTACTCAAGTAATTGAAATACTGTTATAATTGTTTAAGCACAAACCTACATAGTGGCTCCCTGTGCTATGCACAATTTTAGCCATATCATTTTTTTTAACCTCAAGTTTGCTAAGCTCTGGTGAAGAGGAAAAGGAGCTGATGGTTTAAGCATCTTGGGCTAGATTGCCATTGACACTAAATTTGCTTGCTCTCTGTTTTGTATGGCAAAGCTACTAAGACTATCTGCCACTTTCACTAATTTTGATAGCTGCCACCACGTTTGTTTTTCTTGTATATACCATGATTTGAGATACATTGTACTAATTGATTAATCAATTAATGGAACTGTTGATTAATTGATTACCAATTACCATTAAATGGCCAGCTCTGCTTATTATATATATAGTTACTATTGTATTATTTGGAAAGAACCAATGGTACCATAACTGAAAGTTTGAATCCTTTGAAAAGACATCTTAGAGCCTGAAAATATGATGAAACAGTGACACCTAGTTACATAAGTTTTGAGTTGTGGACAAACTAAGTGTGTTTGAATAATTTCAGTGAAGCATACAAGGAAAGGAAAATGAGGTTTTAAATTTATTTGTTTTTTTAAGAATACATTTAACTTTGTAATTTGTTTAACACATTATACAACGTAACAAATAGTGGAGGTATAAGAGTACTAAAATATAGTTTATTTTAAAGCATTTTTATTCATTTTCAAATAAATGTTTAGTTGTAGTGATTTGTTAGTGTTGCATTATCAGGCATGTGGTAGCACTGCTTATGTAGGGATGGCTTGGATTGTTCATCAAAATGTTGAAACATCTCCTCAGTAGGTCATCAGAACTTTACAATACTATACAGTGTTTCCTTTTATAACTGTATCTATGTAATGATAGAGAATGCTATAAATATCATAGCAAAAAGTTTGAATTTCTTGTATGTTTTAGTTGTCAGTAACCAATACTTAATGAGTATTGTGACTATATATTTTTTGTAGTTTCTCTTTAGTAATCTTTTGTATTTTATTTGTAATTTCTATACTTGTATATATTTTGGGGAGAATTAATTATTTTATTGATTTCAGCTTTCATACTCCTTTTTGAGCCGTTTGCATTAAGATTCTTATGCTAGTTGCCAAACCTATCATGTAAAATTTTTGATACAAGATGAAAAGCTCGGGTTATAGGGTTTTTATCATCATGTTTCAAGACTTCTTAAACCTTTGGGTTTTTCTGACATCATGAATCTAAAACTTTTTAACATTTGTAAATTATGTATTTTTGTGGTATGAAAATTATTAAATGGATGAAAATATTAAAAGTTGTGTAAAGTATGCATAAATCAAGGTATTTTGAATATTCTTAAACAGGTACATCCAGGATATGGATTTTTATCAGAAAATATGGAATTTGCCAGAAGACTAGTGAGTTTTTTTTTTTCTTTTTAACCTGATAAGATAAACTAAAACCTTACTTACTCAAGCTTTAAATTTTTTTATGTATTACTTAAGTTGATGTAATTTGTCTTTATTTATATTAGTTATATTCATAGTACTGCAGTGGAATTATGTCAGTATCAAAAAACGTTTTTTAGAAAACAACCCAGTAATTGCTATGAAATAATATGAGACCAAATTAAAACCACTAAGCTGATTTTATGAAAATAAAAGTACTAAAGTTTTGTAATACTTTATTCAGAACTGAACCATATTTTTTAGCAAGAGATATTCTGTTGAACGAAAGACCGTTTGGGCAACAATTAAAAACAAATTGTATAGTTTACAGACTAAATGAACTCTTGCTTCTAGAAATGCAACAAGGTAGAGAATGAACCTGTTATAACTATCAAAAAGTCAAATGTAATAAAATTAACCCCAGCATTCTTTGCTATTCTTTTACTCTCAATTTTATCTCCCATTGCCTGGATGGCTTTTGAGTTAGGCCCGATAAAGACGACATTATCTTCTACCTTCAGGGTTAAAATACAGTAGGCCATTAGATTTGTCTTCCTTCTTTGGTGACGTATAAACAAATGTTTTAATTTTGATTTTTAATATTAGTTTTATCATTCATTAAAAAATTAAAGATCTTCAAGAAAAGTTGATATTAATTCATGACTCATTTTCTAAGTTCAGTAAAAAATACGTTTTTTATCATACAAATTCAATGTAGAAATAAATGCTGAAATTGAAGTCAACATTCACATTGTACTAGTAATTTTTATGAATAACAGATGTAAAATTACCCCTGGGTTTGATGGTGTAGTGAAGGTAAGAAAATGATTATCATTCTATCCACATTTGTAATAATTTTAATGCTTAGTTTAAAGCTTATCTTTTCAGATTTGCTTAAAGGCTACCTAGCATA